AGGGCTGGGCAGACCTCTGAGTCCTCCTTTCCTTTATAAAGTTGAGGCCAGGGGATCTGGGAGAGGCTGAGTTTCAGCCCAGTGTCCAAAGTTCAGGAATTCATATTCTCAGAGAATTCAACCGTTTGCAAATCTAGGTGAAGAGAGGAAGATTCCCACAAATTCCCATCTGTCCCCGGTGTCTCTTGATGGGGGATATTGCCAACCTCAGATCACAAATTCACCCTGCAGCAGGGAGTTTTTCCTTTTCAAAAAAGACAATTTTTCACTTTTTTTCCCCCAAGTTTTCCTTTTTAAAATTGTCAGTATTTTGTGGTTTTTTGACTGGCATCTTGTCCAAGGTCAAACCATCCTCCTGCATTACCACTCAGTCCCGCCAGCACTGCCTGCACATGAAACCTGCTTGTTCTTTGCTCATGTGAGTGCATTACACATGGATTTGGGCTTGGAAATTCACTGCTTGGACATTTTGCCATGAAAAACTATTTTGGCATAAACGCTATTTTGGCTTCATGGCTTTACTTTTATGTGAAATTTACCTCTTTTCTTTATTGCTTTTCTCTCCGCAATAAGTGGATTAATTCAACCACTGATACATCAGCGCAGAGAGAGAAACAATTTTTTTCAGCCCAGAAGGAACTCAGCCACAAAACCTCTGTCCTCACACCCTGAATCTGCCAACCAGGGGTGGAAGATTTGGGTCAGGACTGGCTTTTTTGTTTTTTTTTTTTTTGCCTTTTTTTTTTTTTCCCCATCGCCACATCCAAGCTCGGCGCTGCGCCTCGCGGTGCGCGATGCTCGGAGGCAGCGCAGGGGCATCTCCCCGGGCCCCGGCCCTGCAGCCCTTCCCTTCCCGGCGGCGGCGGGGCTGAAGATTTGGGTCAGGACTGGCTTTTTTTTTTTTTTTTTTTTTGCCTTTTTTTTTTTTTCCCCATCGCCACATCCAAGCTCGGCGCTGCGCCTCGCGGTGCGCGATGCTCGGAGGCAGCGCAGGGGCATCTCCCCGGGCCCCGGCCCTGCAGCCCTTCCCTTCCCGGCGGCGGCGGGGCTGCCCGGGGCGCTGACCCCAGCGCCGGGGAGTCTGGAGCGGAGCCGGCGGCCGCCGCTCGCCGCCGTCAGCCCACACCTCATCAATAGGGGCTGACAGCCCCGGCCCCGCCGCCCCGACGGCACCGCCGCCGGCACGGCACGGCTTGGCACGGCCCGGAGCGCGGGCTGCTAGCAGGGAGAGCCCCGAAAGGTGGGGTTGGAGGCAGCGCCATCCAGCCGGGATATATTTTGGGAGAGAAGGGGCAGAGTCGGGGTGCAGAGAGCCCCATGGCTGCAGGTAACCCCAGAGCGTTACCAGGATTATCCAGGGATCCCGGCATGGCCCCATGGGTCTGGGATAGACGCTGCATCATTGTGAGGGGCTACAAACTAAAATCCCCGTGGGATAGGGATATCCATCCCCGATGGATATAGGGATATATGGATTGAGGGGGTCAAGGGGCTGGAAGGGGGACACAGGGGTGTAGGGGACCCCACAGTGACAGGTAAGGGCACTCAGTGAGTGGTACAGGCGAGTAGGAAGGTAAAACACGTTGGTGAGAAAGACTATAGACACGTGGATAAATAGATGGATAAATAAATGGATATTCTGGCAAAGTAGATGGGCACCAAAAAAGCGAATAAGACATAGGAATGAGTCGGGAGTTAGAGATGGATGGATATAGGGATGTATGGCTACATGATGGATATAGGGATATGCAGATAAATGATGGATAAATCGATACATGGCTAGATGATGGATATAGGGAAATATGGATAGATGGATTGATTAGGGATATATGGACAGACGATGGATATAGGGATATATGGCTACATGATGGATATAGGGATATGCAGATAAATGATGGATAAATCGATATATGGCTAGATGATGGATATAGGGATATATGGATAAATGGATATATGGATAGATGATGGATATAGGAATGTATGGCAATATGATGGATATAGGGATATATGATATGGATAGATGGATAGATGGATACATGGAGAGATGATGGATATAGGGATATAGATCTACATGATGGATATAGGGATATATAGATAAATGGATATATGGATAGATGATGGATATAGGAATGTATGGCAATATGATGGATATAGGGATATATGATATGGATAGATGGATAGATGGATACATGGAGAGATGATGGATATAGGGATATATAGATAAATGGATATATGGATAGATGATGAATACAAGGATATATAGATAAATGATGGATAAATGGATACATGGATAGATGATGGATATAGGAATGTATGGCAATATGATGGGTATAGGGATATATGATATGGATAGATGATGGATGGATATATGGAGAGATTGTGGACATAGGGATATATGGATAAATGATGGATACCTAGATACATGGATAGATGGTAGATATAGGGATATATGGATAGATTAGGGATATATGGACAGATCTTGGATAAATGGATATATGGATAGATTAGGGATATAGGAATGTATGGCACCATGATGGATATAGGGATATATGGATAAATGTATACATGGACAGATGATGGGCGGTGATACTGGCTGTGGTTCCGCATTCCCAGGGCTCCATCCCAGGAACTTCCAGGCACAGCAGCCTTCCCCGCCCGATACACGAGGCTTTTCCAGCCTCTCCAAGCATGGGAAGGGGTTTTCCATCACCGCTGCTCTTCCCACCAGATGCGCGGGGCTCTGCCGGGGCGGGTCAGTCCCCGGCAGCCGGGATGTCAGGGCAGGTGCGCTCCGCACGGGTGGCTTCGCTGTCACTGCGCCGAAGCGCGGCGACAATGATGACAGCAGAACCGAGTGCCGCGAGTGGGCGGCAGGAGCCCGGCCGGTGACGCTCCCCCCTGTCCCCAGCGGGTTCCCCCACCGCGGGTGGTGTTCGCCCGCTCGTCCCCGTGCTGGTGGCCCCGGGGATCCCCCATCCACGGGTGACGCGTGTCCGCAGATGCCACGCAGACTTTGGTCACACCGCCGGGGCGCAGCCCCAGTCCCCCCGGGGAAGGTCCCTCTGAGCTGGGCTTTCACGTCTCCCCGCTAACCCAGAGAAACCCAGACCGGGAAATTCAGAGCCCTGACGTTTTAGGCTCAGCTCACTCGATTTTGGCAGTGAAGCTGACAGGGATGCATTGATCCACGGTGAATTTTCAGTGTTCTCTGGGACACATCTGTCCTACCCACACACACACAGGGGCACAGACACGCAGGGCACCACATGTCCTGTGCTTCCCGTTTCCTAGAGAACCGCGTACCCTAAAAAAGGAATTTTGGATTTTGCCTGTGCCCCGATTTCCACGACACTGACCCTCACTTCTCAGCCTCTCCCCTCCTGCTGCATCAGAGCAGGGATCGCTGCTTCACACACCTCTGCATCCCAGGGATTTGTCCCCTAGGAAATCACTTGTACTTATTCCCACTGGTAAAAAAATGAGGGGAAATCGAGGAAAAAAACAATAATATAATATCTGGGGGTAGAGGGGGTGGTCAGAAAGGATTTAGAGTTTCCCCTGAAGCTCCGCTGAGCCGTGATGATGCTCGGCCACCCTCCCGCGAAGGGCAGGGCAGTACCCGGCCTTTGGGGTGGGGGCGGAGGCGGGGGGTCGGTGGCACTTTGGGGACACTGCCGTCCCGCAAACAGATGCGACGTTTGTTTGGCAAAGTGCCTCCGAAAGGCGTGACGAGAGCTGCGGGGGAGCCGGGGCGGGGGTGGCAGCCGCAGCAGGGTCCCCTGTGAGCGGCTCTCGGTCCCTCTGCGTGGGGCTGTCCCACTGTCCCTGCCAGCCGCAGCTTCCCGAGGGTTTTCCTTGCCCTGGGGTGTCCTGAGAGGGGTCTGCGGGCAGGGGGGGTCCCAGAGTGGGGGGTCCCAAGAGGAGGGTCCAGGATCTGCCCCCCAGGAGGGCAGGGGGTCCATCCCTCCCCTGCATTGCTCCAGAAGGTGTCGGAGCTCGGGATTTCCCCCTTTTTGCTGGACCTGGAGGGGCAGAGCCGGGGGCAGCACCCCCCAGTCCATCCCCCAAACGGGTGGGAAGAGGCGATGCCGTCCCGAGACGTCTCCTGGCTCTCAGGGAGCCTCGTCCCCCACTCCCAGCCATCCCCCACTCCCAAAATACCGCAGTCCTGCTGCGCAGCCCCAAAAAATCGGGGGTGCAGCCGTGCCGTGCCCCTTCGGAGCCTCCTTTCCCTTCCCAGTTTCACGGGCTGCTCTAACACAGCCTAGAGATACCCACAGATAGACACCTATGGATAGATACCTACAGATACCTATAGATACCTATAGATACCTATAGGCGATCCATACCGCCCGCAGATGCCACCCAGCCGTAGGCACCGGATTTTTTTTGGAGCCCATTTCTCCCCTCTCCGCTGTCCCGGGGTGGCAGATCCCCTCCCAGAGTCTGTAACTCTCGGATTTCCCCCCAGCCCCCTCCTCCAGACCCTTCCCGGCTGTAGCAAAGCAAGGGATGAATAAAAGAATTAACGTAATGCTAATAAAAACTCCAAATAATCCCAAATGCCCAATAGGCAGAAGCCGCCGGCCGCATTTATCCCTTTTGCTCGGCTAAAACCACATTTCCCCCGCTGTTTTTTTCCCCCCCTGTTTTTAACCACTTTTCTTCGTGATTGTTTTAAAAATTCAATTTTTAACACAAATAAAAATTTAAATTTACTTTCTCCTCTCTTCCCCTCTGCCCCCCGCCCCACTCCAGTTCTTAAAGTGTTTTTGAGTGATTTTTTTGGGGTTTTTTTAATTTTTTTGGAGGGGAAGTTTGTTTTTTTCCCCATGCATCAACACCCGGAGCTTTAACTCTAAAACCACCGCGGAACTAAGTTCGGTACGGGGAAGTAAGAAAAGCAAAACAAAAAACCCCTAAAAAATAGGCATCGTCTCGATAGTTTTTCCTGCCTGGGGCAGAAGTGGAGGCTGGAAAGGAGAGAGGCAAGGCCAAAATTTGCTCCCCTGGGTTATTTTCACACAGATTTCGTTAATCGCAAGGAAAAAAAAAAAGCTCCATCGCGCTCAGAACAGAGTTTTGGGTTTGGTTTGGGGCTTTTTTTTGTCGCTGCGCTTTGCTGTGCCCCATCAGCTTTTTCCAGGAGAAATTGTGTCCTAAATCCATCCTCTCCCTGCCGGCTGCTGGGTCACGCCGGGCTGGGCTCGGTGCGGTTCCTCACCTCTCCGAATTTCGGGATGTGCGTCCCCGCCATTCCCGGCTCCGCCGGCCGAGAATTCCTCGAAAAAAGGAAAGAGGCTGGATCCGGCCACACGCACGTGAAACAATCCACGGGAATTGCTTTTGCACCTTTTTTCCTGGAAACAGCAAAGCCAAAACAGGTCCTTGAAATCTTCTCTGCTCCTGGTATTGCTGCTTTGCTGCTTGGGCGGGTTTAATCAGTTTAAATTGGATTTTCTCTTTTTGCGAATTTTTTTTTTTTTTTTTTTCTTTTTAGTAAGGAAAGGGCTTCTTTTCTGTAGGAATTCAACGAATCTTTAGGAAATTGCTGCTTTGGGAGAGAAAACCGTCAGAGATTTTGCAAAGGAAGGAAAAATGAGTGTCCAGAACCTGGCACATCTGGATAGGCAGCTGCTTCAGAAGAGACATCGATATATTTAATTCTCCTTTCTTTCCCTCTGTGCTGCTAGTCCCGCGTATTTTTATATATACTTGTATTCATACATATTTTTTAATTTACGCGCTTGCATGTTTATATATTACATGCGAATTATTAAACATCATGGTTTATATGTTATATGTCGTTTTATATATTTCATAATTTACATTTATACAAAACCAATACCACAGGGCGTTATAAACTACAAACAACAAATTGTTTCGGTATGACATTCCATCTGTGTTTGCATGCAACACACATTCCTGTGAATTATAACACACATTAAGTCCCGTCTATACTTAATTTTTCTATCGGTATAAAATTACACACCTTTTATAAATTATATATTTTCCCCCGTGTGCTGAAAGAACAAATACGCACAGAGACACACGTTGCTGATGTTTATTTCTTATGCATTTCTGTGCCTATAATTTCATTGCTATACGGAGCTCTAAATATTTTCATCCCGGTATTTGGGGTTATCTCCAACTGCGTTTTCCCACTTTTTGGGGTTTGGGGAGTCCCCGTGCCCTCTGGGTATTGCAGAATAACATGAGGGGATCTCACATCCCGGGGATTCATTCCCAACTCTAGAGCACCTCCCAAGTGCTCTCCTCACCCTCCATCCCCCTTCAATAAATCGCCTTCCTCATCCCCTCTTCCCCCTCACCTCGCCTCTTTCAAACGGAGATTTGAAATTTTAATTCAATATTTTTATTTCCAAGCACCAAAATCCGCTGACATCTCCCCCTACACACAGACTTAGGGGAGGAACCCCAGATTTCCACGGGAAACTCCAGAGTGTGGGAAATGTTAATGGTGTGAGAGTTATTCACGGGGAAAAAAACCAAAACAGGACAGTGGGACCCCCCGATGTCTGGAGAGACTCCAGGGCGACATGAGCCCCTGGTGAGGGGGGGCTGTGGATGGGGGCTGAACCCCAGGTGGGACTGGGACCCCAAATTGCAGAGGGGTGCAGCACCCCCGATGCACTTCATCATGAACCTTTAAACCCATCAGAGCGTGGAGGGACAGAAAAGAGGTGTCCAGTTTGGGGGGAGCACCCCCAAACTGGCTGGGACAGAGAGGAGAGCAGCTGCCGCCTCCTCACTCTCCAATTTGGGGCAGAAGCACGGAAAATCTCCCTTGTGCAATATCGCCAACGAAAGGCGTTGACTCCAGCGGGATTTGGGGTTAGGGGGTGTCTGATTCCCCCAGAAAATCCCTCTAATTTTTTCTGGGAGCCGGGCACGGTCATCCCTGGGCTGCGCAGGCACGCGAGGCTTCCCAGCTGGTGGTGCCATGCCCATGGGGCTGGTTTGATTTTATTATTTTGGTTTATTCCCTTTTTTTGTCTTTTTTTCCCCCTCTTCTCCGCAGCCATGGAACCTGGCGCCCGGCTGATGGTGCAACAGATACCGGCCACCCCCTTCACCCCCCCTTCCCTCCCTTCGCCGCCCACTTCCACGTGACGTGGGAAAACCAGTCAGCGAGTGGGACTGGGCAGCCTGGCCATACTGGGGAGCCTGGAGGGGGGCAGCCCTGCCCCTGATCCCCCCCCCCAAGGAAGCAGGAGCCGGGCATCCCTGAGCCCTCTGCCTTCCCCACAGCGAGGGGAGGGGTCCCTGCCCCACGGCCTCGCCCCCCTTCGCCCCCGTGCCCCCCCAGCACTGAAGGTGGGTAGAGCTTCTCCGTCCCCTCGCTCCTCTTCCTCGCTGTCACGCCGGGACCCCAGCGACCTCCCCGAAAGCTTCCTCCTATTGTCCCCTCGGGCTTGAAAAGCGACTCGATTTCGCTTTTTATTTTCGTTAATTTTTTTTTTATTATCACCGCTACTATTTGTAGGGCAAGAGGGGGACTCGCTCCTTGCTCCCCTCCTGTGAATCCTGCTCCTCGCTAGGGAATCCTGTGGAAAAGCTCCGTCCTAGGCCGGTTACACGCCGATCATTCCCTGTGGGTCTGGGGGACACAGACCTCCCTTAAAGCCCCTTCTTCCCGGCTCGCTTCCATCCTTACCCCTTCCCAGCGCTGCCTCCGGCTTCTCTCCCTTTCCTCGGCCGCCTCCCAGTCTCCCGCTGTCCTCCCAGGGTATCAGTCCTTATCTGCTGGTTATCTCTTCTGCTGCTAAATTCAGCCCAGCGGAGGGGTTCAGCCGGGGGGAATCTGTTGGTTCAACCTAAAGCAGTCCCAAGAGCAAAACTCTCCGGCCATAATTCCCCCCCCCCCGCGCTCCATCCGGCTCTTCTCCCGGTGTGAGGTGGTTTTCATGGAATCCTATAATTCCAGAATGGTGTAGGTTAGAAAACACCTAAAGGCTCGTCCAGTTCCGACCCCCCTGCCGTGGGCAGGGACACTTTCCACCAGACCGGGCTGTTCCAAGCCCCGTCCAAGAGGTTCCCTCCATGATTTGTAGAGAATCTCACATCTCAACTCATGTCACCCCCTTCCCGGACCTCCTTGGGAAAGGGGTTCCACCCTGACCCCTTTCCACAAGTGGGTTTTGGGGTCTTGCCATTGCAAGCCATGCACAAGGCCCCGATGGCATCCAAGGCCCAAACCCGCTCCAAATTCCCCCAAATTTCCCCAAATTCGAAACCAACCCAACACGAGGTAAAGCACCCCTTTCCCCCACCCTGTCCCACGACTCTGGGGCACTCCTCCCCACCCGGACCCACAGCATTCCCAGTCCCCAGTGGGTCACCCCACTGTGCTTCCAGCTTCTCCACTTCCCCACACGGGAAAAACGGGGGAGAGGGATAGAAAGCACCCGGGAGCCGGAGTTTTGTGGGCGCTGCCTGGGGTCTGCTCCCCACTTTGGGCAGCACTAACGGGGCTGCAGTGGGTAATGCCACCCCCTGTCCTTTAAGTCCCCTCGGTCACGCGTGGCCGGGCTTTAGGGGGTGCGGACACGCGTGGGGCATGAGCGGGGTGAGAGGGTCAAGCCATCCTTCCCCTTTTCCCTCTTTCCCCCCAACTTTTCCCTAATTTAAGTCCCCCCCACCCCAGCCCTCCTCAGCCGCCTCCCGCCGCCCACATCAAACGCCGGCCCCGGGGGCCATTAACAACTTAAAGCACCGATCGTACCTGCGGGACAAAGGTTTTTGCTCCGGGCCAGAGGAGAGAGCATCGCTGTCTCTCACCTTCCCGGCTGTGTCCCCCTTCCTTTCACCTCCCCCCCTTCTCTAACCTCCTTATCTCCCCGCCCGGGGGGGTCCCGGCCCGGCCGCCGCCGCATCCCGCATCCCGGCAGCATCTCCCCCTGCTCCCCCGGGGGTGTTGGAAGGGGCGGGCAGGGGGGGGAGGGAGGAGGAGACTGACCGAGGGTTTTAAACAGCCCAACCTCATGGTGGAGGGATGGAGCCCGGTGGGAGCAGCTAAATCCAGGCGGGAGCAGCTAAATCCAGGCGGGAGCTAAATTTCCCCCTCCGGAGGGACCTGGACTTCTTGCTCGGGGTCTGCAAGAGGCGGCGGGACCTGCTGAAGGTGGGGGAAGGTGGGCGGTGGGGAAAGGGAGGGGGGGGTTGTTTCGGAGGAAAATCGCATCGCTGGTGGTGTTTTGGTTTTGGCTGGAAGGCTGCGCCCACGCGAGACCGCTGCGGGGAAAAGTGGAGCCGAGGGTTTTCCAGGCGCTCCCCATCGCTCTGGATCGCGGCCGGGGAGCCGGCCGGGCTTTGGGGAGGCCCCGCACGAGATGTACCAGAGCTTAGCCATGGCAGCCAACCCCGGCCCTCCGGCCTACGAGGGGGCAGGTGGCTTCATGCACAGCGCGGCCGCAGCGTCCCCGGTCTATGTGCCCACCACGAGGGTCACCTCCATGCTCCCCAGCCTGCCCTACCTGCAGAGCAGCGCCTCTTCCCAGCAAGGCAGCCCCGTCTCCAGCCACTCCATCTGGACTCAGCCCGGAGCCGAGAGCGCCGCGTACAACCCTGGATCTTCTCACCCTCCCGTGTCACCTCGGTTCTCCTTCTCCACCAGCACCCCCATCCCGGCCACCTCTTCCCGGGAAGCGGCGGCGGCTTACAGCAGCTCCTTGAACCTTTCTGCTAACGGGAGGGAGCAGTACAGCAGGGGCTTCGGAGGCTCCTACTCCAGCCCCTACCCGGCCTACATGAGCCCCGAAATGGCCACGACCTGGACTTCCTCGCCCTTTGACAGCCCCATGCTGCACAACCTGCAGAGCCGAGGGACGCCCGCGGCCGCCCGCCACGCCAACATCGGTGAGCACGGGCTGGGAGACGGGAGAGGGGCTGGGTTTCATCCCCTTACCCCCCAGATTTTGGGGCGCGCATCCCTCTGTGTGCAGGCACAGCGGGCATGTAGTGGTTTTGGGTTTTTGGAGGGAGGAATTTGGAGGATTGGGGTTGGCGGTGTCTGAGTGGAGTCTCTGGCTGGAAAACATCGGGGTCCTTATTCCTACTTATTCTGCAAAATCGCCGCTCCAAAACATCCTCAAAGGCCACAGTTTCCAAAAAGTGAACGAAATTTAGGGCAGGCCCGGAGCGGCAAGGAGTGATGAGCCGAGATCTGGAGCGAAGGCCTGCTGGCTCCTCCAACAGCTCAGAAGGGATTTAGGGGCTCTGATAGGGATAATTTTGGGGTGCAGGACCATGGACACGCAGGCGGCCCCTTCCTGAGCTGGCTTTAGGTGCGAAACTGGAAGCATTAAGAAATCAAAGTTGGGTCCATGAATTCCAAATCTTCCCTTCGGGCTGTTTTACGTTCTGGTCTTTTAAAAAATTCCTTTGGAAAGGTCAGTTGTGCTACAAAAAGGGAGAGTAAAGAGAAATTTAGAGCTGAGGTGGGAGAGATGATGGAGAAGGATTAAAAGAAATGCATCCACATTTATAACAGTGATTTTCGGAGAACTCAGGCACATCTGAACAACGCAACCTCGGTATTTCAGAGTCTCCTTACCCCAAAAAACTTCACCCGGATCTCTTGTGCCAAGTCCAGTCTCGGAGCCTTTCATTTCATTAAATTCCTCTGGTTCCTACAACGAAGAATTGGTCCAAATGGCTTAAAATAATGTTTTCATATTTCGTGAGGTGGAAGAGGGATAAAAGGAGAGAGAAATGCAGGCACATCTTTGCATGGTGGTTTCATAAACCCTTTTTTCCTTCCCGCCTCCTCTCCATGAAGGTATTTCTGTCGGTTTTGGGGTCGGGGTTAACAAAGAAAACACCTCAAATTTGTCTGCAGATCTATTTTACGATTGTGTTCTCTCACCCGAATTTTGGAGGGTGATTTTCCCATCGCGTCCAGCAGGATTTGCATTGTCTTTAGCATTATTTTAAGATGTTAAAAGAAAGAAAGTTGGGCATCGGTGAAGGCTTGGCCTTGCCAACATCTTGTGCTTTTCTTTAGGTGCTAGAAAACTTCTCAAGACGAGGAACAAATTAAGGATAAAATTTCAGCTAATCAGGCAATGGTTTTTTTGGAAGCCATGAGAAGGCAGATCGTAGAGCAAAAAAATCAGGCTGAATTAAACGATCAAATATTAATTGAATATCAGTAAGCACATATGAATATTTGTATTTTACCATGGTGCCATCTCTTCCTCGGGGGGGGGAAAAAAAATATCACATTTTTGCGGTGATTTCAGAAGGGCTTTTAATAATGAAAATACCCTAAACCCAAAATAATGCAAATGAAGAATTGCAGTTGCAGAAACACGCATCAACTTTTAAAGTGCCAGGGAATGAGCGTGGGGATTTGGGGGTTTTGAGCGTGGGGATTTGGGGGTTTTGAGCGTGGGGATTTGGGGGTTTTGAGCGTGGTGGTTTGCGCTGCAGCTCCGCATTTTGATGGCAAAAAAAAAAAAAAAAAGGTTTTAAATAGCACTGGGAAGAAGAGATGAGTTGAGCCAGTGCAGAAAATGGTTTTTAATGAAGGAGGAAGGAGCCGGGACTCCACTCCCTGACTCGGGGGCCGGATTCCCGGCAGCGCGGCCGAATCCGCGGAATTCATTAGCATGGGGCTAATTACGCCTCTGCCTTGGATATGGAAAAGCGTTGGAATTTTAAAACGTGAGTTCTTGGGTTTTGGTTAAAAAAAAAAAAAAATTAACTGCCTGAGAGCCGGTGAGTTTTAAATGGATTTTTGGAAGGCAGCTCCTCCGGGAATAGTTTAAGGTCCAGACCTGCCCCGTTCCCGCTTCTCCCCGAGTCGGGACGCGGCCGCTGCCGGGTCCCTCCTTGAAGCCGAGCGATGCTTTGGGCATCGAGGGGGTTGAGTAAAGCATGTAGAGGCTGGATGTGGCGTTCTGAGCTGGGAAAGGGTTTTATTTTAATGATTTTAAGGGTAAAAAACCCTGAAAAACTGAAGGCACTGAAAGATGTACTGGGGGGACACCGCTGTGGATTTATTCCCATCACAGACCCACTTTAATTCCACATCCGAGCCTGATCAGCACCTAAGAAATCCCTGAAACGGTGCAGTTGATGCTTTCTTTGCCTTTTCTTAGGGCTAAAAGTAATTTTATTCGCTGCACAGCCGAGGAATCTCAAGTTGGATATGCAATCCTTTTAAATGTGTGAGCGGTATTTGCAGCGCTCTCATTTTCTTTTCCCAGAGAAACACCCACCACCTTCGGGTAGCGCTAAATGCAGAGCACCCCTGGGACCATTAAAATTTCAATTACTATGAATTTTTAAAAATAAAGATCAAGTATAGGCAGCTACAGGTGAATATGCAGACACGAATTCACATTCTATACAACTGGGCGTGACGTTTTCCTCCCTGTTTTATATAAATATATCCCTGTAACAATAAAGCAATACACAGGGAAAAGAAGATTAGTGAAAATGTATTCGAAGAAAATAACACTACAAATCTTCTTGTTTTCCTCTAAACTGAGGAATTTTTACTTGGGTTAAACCGTGGTATACAGCACTGGGAAGGATGGGTAAAAAGCACGGGCCCGTTTGGAAAACTTTCCCTAATGTGAGTTCAAAATGCCAAATTTGGGCTTTTCGGGGTAAGTTTGGTGACTGATTTCATTACCTGAAGAGCAGGATCAGACCCTGTGGTCGAGGCAGTGAACTTGCCCCAGGCGTCGCCCGGGATGGAGTTACTGTGAATTCCCGACTTAATGAGGCATGAAAAGGACCAGCTGCAGAATCCCCTCTCAAAAGACTTCCCCGCCAGCACCAAAAATCTCTTGAAATCGCTCCCAAAATTACCTTAGATGGTCAGTTTGGCTCTGGCCCCTTCCCCGGGTGGAGGGGAGAGGGGATGGAGGGCGGCACGGGGATCCGAGCGCATCCATCCCGCAGCTCCTCGCTGCCTCCCGGATCTTTCCAGGCTGGAGAAGGACGCTCCGATCCCAGATTGCCATCCCCTTTCGTTTTGCTCACAGCGGGGATTTATTTTACTTTCGCTGTGGCATCGCGGATGCATTGCTGTGGTTGGGGATAAATCGGGGCTGTGGGCATTTGGGTTGGAATTTTTTTTTTTTTTGTTTTTTGGCTAAATCGAAGTCAGGGCTCCTCAAACAGGCGCTGCTGCAACACAGCAGCAGCATCTGGGAAGATCAAAGCCCGGAGCAGACACTCCAAGGAAAATGTCCTTTCTGCTGCTGGTGGGGGAAGAGATTGGGAACCAGATCTTAAGCTTTCCCACAGGGATGCTAAGAGATCTGCCCTGTCGCATCCCGGGTCTGACATTTCCAGTGATTCATTGGCATTTGGTACAACCCTCCGCCCTACAAGCAGCCCCTGACCTTCCCCACGCACCAAGGGACGAGGTGGCTGGTCCCTGTGGGGTGGCAGGGGCGTCCAGCATCGTCCTGTCCCTGATCCTGGAGGGTTGGGACCTTGGGACGCAGGGATGGGGCCATAGGACAGAGGAATACGAGTGTAGGATGGCAAAAAAGGCTGTGGGACAGTGGGAAGGGGCTGTGGGACAGCGGGATGGGGCTGTAGCACATCGGGATGGAGCTGTAGGACATCGGGATGGGGCTGTAGGACGTGTCTGCCTTTTCCTCCATCCCCCGTTTCGCAAGCGGCCGCATTTCTCACCCCAGCCCCGCCGGCGGGGAAGGTTCGCCCAGGGCTTTGTTCCCCCCCTCCGCGTTTGAATCCACCTTCTGCTCTCCCTCCTAATTTAATTGTCACCCGTCAGTCTGGGGTTTGGGATGAAACCCACAGAATCAGGGTTTCTAATCTCTGAGCAAGATCAAGCTTGAACACACAAGTGTTTATTCCCCTCTCCAAACCCCCAAGCAGTAGAATTTAAATTGCAAATAAATCAGTGATAATAATAAAAATAACATCATCACGGG